CCCTGCTGCAAAATTTTAAGGTGATATATCAGAAGCTGTTCCCTGTGGGCCCCCAGGAAGCAATAAAGAGACTAATTTTGAAGAGCAGAATTACACACTGCTAGACTTGACGACGAAAAGGGGGTTGCCATAATACTCCCAACTCTTTGGTGATTAAGATTCATAGCACCTCTTGCTTTTTGAATGCATGTGTGCCTGGCAACAGCATTAAATCATTGTAGGGTACTTTCTCATGCTCATTTAACAGATGAGAACGTTAAGGCCCGGGGAAGTTGAGAGATGTGTACAGGGTCACAAAGCAAACTTAGAAAGAATCTAGACTATGTCGCTACCTAAATATGCTTGATTTTATGACACTCCCTCCTTATCGTCCCCCACATGTGCCATAGATTACCTTTTAAAATAGATGCTAAGTCACAATGACACTGCTTTGGAGGACTCTTTTAGGATTCGTGACAGCCTTGAGAGCTCAGGGCCCAGGAGAGGAACAGGAAGCAGAAGCCTGCTGCCCCCGGGGGGAGGAACAACACAGGGACCCACAGACGGTTGCGGTGAGCATCCAAGGACTACTGACGCAACCTCACACAATTAGATGTTGACTCAACCTTGAAAATGTCATTTCAGTCCCCAGGGCTGGAGCATTCCCATTCGTCTATAGACTTTGCACTGATTCCAGCATGGCTGACACCCGGTTACTCTTTGCATCACCGACCTGTACCTCCTTACCCTGCTCCCTCCACCCCAGCCCTAAGGACAGGGGATCTACCTGAAGACACTCTATTCAAACCTCCTTTCCCATCACAGAATCCTCACCACATCCAAGCCAGGCAGGTGAAGAGGACCCTTCCTTAGCTCCAGGCCTCTCTCCCCTCAGGCCCAGAAAAGATGGATTGGGAACTTTCTTGATAACCTTGATAATCTAGGGCAGATTCCAAACTCAGGGGGATGACTTAGAGGCCCCACACAACAGGCTGAGGAAAACTAAGGATGTCAGGGAAACCTGCCACTGACACACAGGAGACAAAGGATTATTAGTTGAGAGGTGCTCGCCCGGCAGGGAGGAACCCCCAGGGGAGCACTGAGCGGGGCCCACGATGCCGAGTAGAAGGGCACGTTTAGAATCAACCCAGCTCCCAACCAAGAAACCACGCCAGGTAGGGAATTAAAAGTCTTAATAACATTTTATAACTGTATGCAGGTCTTTCACATACACTCTCTCATCTGAGTCTCAGAAAAACGCCAAAGGTAGAAATTATTTAACCCATTCCTCAGGTGGGGCTGGGCTTAGGGGAACTGGATTTTGTGGAGTGCCAACCTTATGCCCGTGACATGTGTCAGGACACATACGTAGCAATTACTATTTTGTGCTGCTGTTGGGAGCCCGTGACTGGGGCAGATGTCATTCACAGAGTAATAAAAAGTACCCTCGCCCAAACCCAGAAAGAGCAGCCATATCTATGACAGCAGGCTCCCTGGCCCTCACAGGGAATAATCTGTACTTTTATGGCTGGTAAAGAAAGGAGGCAGGTAAGGTAGGGATGGGCCTTTGTTTCAAAGGCTGAGGCTGGGAGACAGGAGAGAAAGGGGATGAAGGACAAGCAGCTTTTCGAGTAGGGTGCCTGGGTCGGGTCCCAAGACACTTGGGATGGCTTAGGTGATGGGTCCTCGGGTGGCTGGCACCCCCTCGGCCCACTGAAACACAGTGCCACGGTGGCGTCCATCCTCTAGAGATGAAAGCCCGGGGGCCCCCGCCTTCTCTACGGCAGAGCCGACACAGGGGCACAAGCTGCCTGCAGGACCTGTCTCCTCCAGGTGACCACACGGCTCTGGATAAGGAGGGCCACAGGCAGCCCCCCTGGGCCAAGGTCCAGGCTCACCCCCTGCCCATCTGTCCTGCCCCACAAAGCCCCACAGTCCTCATGCAACAGAAGGGTAGAAACAGAACTACAGAAATTCCTGCTAGGACACTTTTGCCACACTTAGTCCATAGGGAAATCAACCCGGTTTTCATTTAATTTAGGAAAATAAAAAGCATTATTTCTTGACGTGGAATGTCACAGAGTAACGATTATTTCATTTAGTCCTCAAAGTTACCCAGCAAAACAGACATTCTTAGTGCCACTTTCAATGCAGCTTCTGAAGCTCAGAGAGCTTTGGGAACTGCCTGGGGTCAGCCCGGGACCAGTAAGTGGTGGCATCTGAGGCCAGCTGGGAAGACCTACAGCCAGGGCTGGTTCTAGAGAACATACGTTACCATCCAGAACAAACGATTCAAGACATCTCTGATTCTTCAAGCCAGTTTCCCCAGGAATTCATTTCAGATGTGTCATGAGAAGAGGACAGAATAGTAAGTCCTGTTGTCTAGCTCAGGATACACCTGGCCTCTGGGTGCCCCTGGGCAAAGATGCTCTAAATTCTAGACCTAAGCTGTCCAACAGAGTAGCCACTAGCCACAGGTGCTGCTGAGCACTTGCAATGTGGCTGGTCCAAACGGAGATAAACTGTAAGTATCAAACACACTCTGGACCTCAAAGACTTGGTACGAAAAGAAGAATATAAACTATTTCATTGATAATCTTTATATTCACTCCATGTTGCAATGATAATACTTTGGACATGTTGAGTTAAATGAAACATTATTACAATTAATTTCACTTGCTTCAAACTGAAAATCCCACGAGACTGGCTCATGCTCAGTCTCTCTGGGTAGCCCTGCTCCAGGTCCCAAGTCTTGCCTCCGTTTCTGTACCCGACTCATCCTGCCCCACACTCCCTAGAGCAGCACTGGAAGCCCAGGAGGCAAGACTCTCCAAGCATTCCGAGAATGTCCTCTCTTCTCAACACGTCTGTAAATTCCTGGACCCACCCCTCCCTCCCTCTATCCTACGCAGTGCCCAGAAAGCATCCCCAGGCCTAGCAACTGCCACAGCACTCACAGGCAATCACCATTTCTGAGTGTTCGGATCCACCTTAAACTACATTTTCCACGGCCAGAGGAATGCCGAGAACCAGGTTTTCAAAGCCCAGGCCTCAAACCCTGTTCACAATCAGAAGCCCTGGGAATTGGGATGCGTTTCTCCCAGCCTTCTTTGCTCCCTCCCCTCTCAGACCATAAGCTCCTCCAAGAGCAGAACAATGGAAGAAAACTAAATGATTGATCACTTACTATGGTGCCAGGGGCTGTGCTAAATGTTTTTCATGTTTCATTTTATTTAATTCTGCCAACCAGCCTGTGAGTGAGAAAGTCTTGTCCCCATTTTGAAGACAGGAGCCTGGGGCTCCCAGAATCCCAGATCTGTCTCCACTCCCATGTTTTTTCCCCTGCTCCATGTTCCCTCCCCTGGGAGCAGACATACCTCATGCATCTTTGTATGTCTGGCACATAGCACAGTGCCCAGTACAAAATAGGTACTTGGTAAATATTGGGAAACTAGGTTAAGAAACTTCTAGATTCAACCCTTTGTTCTTTCTTGACTTAATCAGAAAGTATTTTGCCCCTTACCTTCCTGAGGCTGCTAAGTCCTCACCCACCCACCTGCAGGGCTGGGCCTCTTCTACCTCCTCCTGCCCCCTCATCACCTCCATCACAAGGGCCCACAGGGTCAGCCCTGCCCAGTCCCCAGTCAAGCCTAGGATGCACAGACTGCCTGCTCCACTGAGAGGTGGGGGTCTGAGAATAGCCCAGAGCTAGCACACTAGGGTCTAGGGTGCCCAGGGACACAGCTAGCCCCAGGAAACTGTTAAGATACCAGCTACCTAGCAAAGCCCCTCCAGGCCTAGGCAGACCCCTAACTATCCTTACCAGGGTCCCCAAAGCTCGATTCCCCTGCCATTTGTTCATATAGACAGGAGCCAAGTCCTGGGCCCACCTGGTACCTGTGGCTGATCCATTTCCTAGAGCTGGGCTCAGCTTTCTGGATTCCTTCTTCATCTTATTCTTTCTTCCTGACTTAGAACAAGGCCACCCAGAAGTCCTAATGCTCTGCCCCTCCCCACCCCTTGGCTTGGCTTTGTGGACCCTGACACTGGCCTGCACTGGAATGGAATTTGCCACACCCTCTTGGGCCTCCTGCCCCAGGCCACTGGCCCTCTCCCCCTGCCCTGGTCAGTTTCCCAAGGCCCCAAGCTATTTTTGCTCCCGCCCCAGCCCGCCGTTTTCCCCATGGCGGAAATCGTCACACACAGTGACGACCAGATGGCCAATGGGACAGGCCCTCCACTACGTCAGAGCTCATCTTCGGGGTCTCCAGTCCCACTGGACCCTGGTCCTTCCAGCCTCAGGGTCCTGCCCTCTAGGCTCTGGGGACCTTCTCAATGCTTTCTGCCTTGGCTGACCTCAGATTACCTGCTAGACCCAGGGTGTCTGCCAGCCCCGGCCTGTGCTCTCCAGACCGCCACCCATGACCTCCCCAAGTCAGCCTTGGTCATCTGTTACTTGTCCTGGCATCCTTGGAGGGACAAAGGCAGCCACAAAGTCCCTATTTCCTTTTATTACAAGAAATACCAACCTATATCACCTCACCGGTCATTCAAGAAATCTGACCCAACCCAGAAGGCTTCTCAGCCAATAAGGCCTCCAGGTCTACCCCTTAGGTATCACTGATCCATGAAAGAGCTCCTGCACCCCTCGCTGCCTTTGTTTCCCCACTGGCATCCATGCCCTGCTTCCCAAGGGAGCTGATGGGAAATAATGACTTCTTGATTTGTTACTCTAAGGTCTTCAAACAAGAGGGGCTACATCCATATGGCATCAGGCCTTCCTATAAGGTATAGTAAGCGAACCCACCTGATGCTAAATCTGCTGGTGCCTAGCTCCAGCAAGAGCTTGGGGCAGAAACTAATAACTATAAAGCATCCATCTATTATCTTACCAGGCCTTACTCTGCTTTGTTTGCATGGTTATCCTCCCAAGAGTTGACATTTTATGTCCACTGCAGGCTGATATATTCTCCTACCTGCCACATCATTCAGAAAGGACTGATGGACCTCAGGTTCATTACCTGTCATCACACCGTGTACATGTCACTTGAGGCCGAAGTATCAATTCTTCGTGAGTCTCCCCGGTGATACAGTCTCCCGACTTGGAGGCTCCAGGTCCAACGAGCTGCAGGTTGCGCTCACTCCTCAGGCCCTGGTGGGCTTCATGCCATCCCTTACTGCTCTCCTGGCTGGCCTACTCCTCATGGGTAGTGAGGCCTTCTGAGTTCCCAGCTGCTTCAGAGGAGACCTGTGGGAAGAACAAAGGTCCCTGTGACCTACCAGGGCCAGAGACACATGTCCAAGTTTTAGCTGTTCTAGAACTTTCTAGCCATCTTTTTTCTCTCTCTCTCTTTATTATTAGATCTTGTAACTCCAGGTGACTAAACAGAGTCTACCTCAGCTAGGGACTTCACTGCCAATGTCCCACCCACCAACCCTACCCCCAGGCCTCAGCATGCGTGTACCAAACACACACACCCCTTCATTCTTATCTTCTTAGCTTGGCATATTTCGTTTCATCTGCCTGAAAGACCCACCTTCAGTCACTCATCCTACCCACCATTCAGAGTTTAGCTCATACCCACCAACAGAACCTCATTTCCCCAGGAAAGAGGAAGGATCTGGGTGTCCTCCCTCCACCAATGAGACCCACAAAGAACAAGGCCATGTCTACCAGGGACATGCCTCAACTCTTGTGGCCCAGGCCCTGGGACAAGGCTTCCGGTGTGCTGTGATTTGGGGGCTCCAGGAAGGCCACCCACCTGTGGCCTCCTTTCACAGCCCTTCGCTCAGAGTGAGAGACAAGGGTACAGATGCACACCTTGCTGGGTGAGGGACACAGACACTCCTCTACTGAGTGACCACGTTTCATAGCCAAGACCACAGCTCACACTCGGGGGTGGCAGGGGGCAGGTAGGAAGGGGCTCCAACAAGAAGAAGCCGCGCCTCAGCATGCAGATCTCCTGGGTTCTGGAGACCGGGGCCACATTGGCCGTAGCCCTGCATCTCTGACCAGGTATGGCCTCCAGCTCCCGGGGCCACTGCCCAGACAGCTGTGACCCTGAGCTCCACCCCAACCTCGGGGTCCTCTGGGCCTCAGTGGGCCCACTGCTGAGAAGGGGCTGTGGCAGGTGGAGAGTGTCCACCAGGGCATCCAGCGCTGCAGGAAAGGGGGAGCACCATGGACAGGGATGAGGGTAGCAAAGGGAGACAGGGACCTGGAGTCCCATGCATTTTGTAAGCCTAACAATGACAATGTCTTACACACATACCCTACCCTGATTTACACCCTTCAAGCTGCTTTGCCATCCACTGAACCCATGTGGTTTCACAGTACTGACATAAAGGGGTATTTTTTTTTTAAGCTTGTTTTAGAGATGAGGAAACAAAAGCACAGAAAGGTTGAGAATCTCACTCAAGATCCTACAGTAAGGTAGTGAAAAAGTCAAGACTGGAATTTCTGACCCCCAGTTATCATTCTTTTCAGCAAGCCCCTTTGTCCTGGGTTAATTTCCTACCACGTCAGGGGAATGGTGGGTCGGTAGGAGCGGGGAGGATGCCGGGAACAGAGGCATGCTTGGCCTGCTGTGGGGGGATGGGGAGAAGAGAGAACAGGAGGAGGATGGAGCCTGTGGTTTCTCCCCTGCTGGGAGGGTCTAGGCGAAGAAGACACAGAGAAGAGAGTGATAAACAGGGAAGGCAGGAATGTGGAGGCCCCTAGCTGACAGGAGCAGCTCAGGCAAAGAGGGTGCTGCTGTGATAAATAGCCACAGCTTGGGAGTGGGGAGGGGGGCAGGGTGCCGACGTTGAGCCTCCAGGGCAACCTGGCTTTACAGCTCTGGCCTCCAAGGCATTGCTGGGCAAGGCAGCCCTGGGGATTAGAAGCCCCTCTGAAAGAACAAAGCAGTTATTGGTATTACCTTCCAAAAGCATATACACACATCAATGCTCTTTTGTGTATGGGATATATTCCTGAATAATGAAAATGAAAAAACGCCACCGCGAAGTTCCAGCCCTACGAAGAAAGATCTCAGCTGCTCCTGGACAATGGGATTCTCTGCTTGATTCCAACGCTGCTCTGCTTCTGCTCTCCAGGAAGAAGTCACAACCTAGGAAATTCCTACCTGGCAGGAAGGCAGGCTGAGATCCTTCTAGAATAGGCAGCACAGGCCAAAGGCCAGGAAACCCAGGATAGGTGGCAATGCATGGAGTTCAGCGGAAAAAGGACACAAACACCAAAGGTAGCCAGGAGCTCGGTGCAGGCCCACATGCCCACCAGACCACACCTCAAAACATCAGGCTACGGGAAGAATGGAAAGTCATCCCCTGGTGTTAGTATCATCGCTCTGTGTCCCAGGCACCCCGGGGAAGGGGAGGGGGTCCTTGTTCTACCTAGTAAGACGTCAGCCCTACTACATGTGCACCAGATGCCGTGGGGAAAGGAGGAGAAACTGCACCCTTCAGAAGCCGGTTACCAGCCTGTCCCCTGGGCTGCAGGATCACCTGGTGGCCGCAGCTCCGGAAGCAAACAGCTAGAGCACGTCAGTTTTTGCTGGGGGTGGGAGACTGGGGATCGGAGTCCTTCTGAACCCTCCCGCAAGGTGGGGTTGAAACATATTCACAGCAGATGGTGCTGTCGCCCTCACTCGGGATTCTCATTCCTAATTCTCTGTGCTGTCAGCAAAACAATTAACCCTCCAAGAAAAACTGCGCCATCCACTCTCAACCACATGAAAAGACAATTTTTCCCAAGGACGGGACACTTAGGGCAGCAGCAGAGGGAAAGTAGGGCAGCCTTGTGTTCGATTCGCGATCTCACTCTCCCTGGGCGATTTCGCCATCCTCTGACCTCCGTGGTCCGCTGCATGCATCACATGGCCGCCCCTCCCGCCTCTGAGCCTGCATTTCCTCTCCCATAAAAATGAGGGGGTGAGTCCAATCCCTAGGGTCCCCTTCAGTCCTACAGTGCTAGCATGCTACAAGCATGGCTCTTTTCCTTTGAATTTTAAGTTCCTTGGGAGTAGAGATTGAGATTCCATTTGTTCCTCCATTCATTTGCTCACTTGCTTATCTGCTTATCTATTCATTCATTCATTCACTCATGCATTCAGTCAGTTATATAGGAGATACGAAGAGACTATCTCTTCAGCCTTCTTGACCACTGCATGGAGCTTTCTTCCCCTGGGATGTGGAGGGAAGGATGGAGCAGGGTGAAGTGGAGGTGCAAGGGGCTTCATCCTTGGCACTGGCTTGGCATCAGCTGTAGGAGGGGAATCCCATTGCATTTGTGTTCTCTCTGAGGATTCCGCTGCAGGAAGGCAGAGTCCTCTCCAGAGAGCTGAATGTGGTAAGGAGGCCACCTTGGTCCCCAGGGCAGGCGTGCAGAGGGGTGGAGAGGTGCTATGTAAGGAGATCCAAAAGCCCCCGTCAGCTGCTGTGGAGCTGGAGAGAGCACTTTGCAGGTGTTCATTAAAGACGTGAGGTGTGAGTGAATGAACCAGAATGCCCCTCCTTCAAGTAACTGTTTAAAAGAAAGGAGAGTTTTTACAGGGCTAAGGCATGATGTTTGTTACCCAGGGGGCTATGATTTAAGGCTGGGCTGGTTGGTCCATTTTGTCTGTTGTCAGGCACTGTCATGGGAAAAAAAGCAGGGTGAGCAAGAAATTGTAGAATGATCACTGTCAGCGCTGAAAGAGCCTTGAGGGATGACATCATCCTGGACACGTTTTGCAGGTGCCACCTGGAGAGGCTGAGGGCCTGGCTGCTCACAGACAGGGCGGGCAGAGCAATACTCTGCCCCAGCTGGCTCCACACCCAGGCCGCACTCTGGTCCCAGTCCACACAGCCTCCCAGGCCACCGCTCAGTACACTGGGGAACTCACAGGGCAGAAGGGAAGGCCCAGATGGGGGCACCCTCTGGCCCACACCCCTCCGCAACCCCATGGGGCAGCAGGCCTCCTACTCAGGCAGTGGCAGTGCTCTGCGCACCTGGTGAAGGAGCGCAGAAAAACAGATAGGGACGGGGCTGGCGGGGGGTGGAGGGCAGGGAGCTGAGACCCCTCCTCGACCACCATTTTGCCCAGTTCAAGCCTTGTGACGTCTTTCTTCCGTCTCCCTGTCGCCCATCCGGCTACCAGCACTTGCCTTCACCCAGTGACCAAGAGCACAGGCTCGGATGCCTCGGCATAAAAGGAGTGTGTTTATATTCAAAGCGGGCCGTTGCCCACTCAGAATCTGCCCACTCAAAGGCAGCACATGTGACTGCACCCCCTGCCCAGAGCCCAAGCGGGACAGACGCCAACCTCTGGCTGGAGACGTTTCTAAATATGAGCGTGGCACAAAGAGTCAGGTTCCCAGGCCTCCTCTGCTCTGGAAGACCCAGCCAGGATTGTCAAGGCTGCCTGGAAGGAGAGGGCTGGGGGCAGGCAGGATCAGGAGGCAGCCAGCTGAGACAGCCATCAGCCCCAGAAACATCACCTGGACCTCTCCCTGGCCTTCCAGCCTCGTTAGGGCAAGAGAAAGGATTACCCTGCACCCAGAAAGTCTAATCAACTGCCTGAAACCCTTGGCAGCAGGGACAGGAAAGCCACTGCTTGCTCAAATGCACATGGATTAAAAATACACAAATGGAATATTTTTTCTTCCCCTCTCCTCAACCTCCTGAAGCCTGGGATGCTTGTTAAAAATAGCCTCGCTGTGGCATGGATCCTACAAAACCCAATGGCTGGCATGAAAATTAAGAAGCCATTGGAGGCGGCACTAAGTGGTTACCCCTGGGGAGTGGGCTGGGGAGGGCTGGGAGGGGGTGCTTTCAAGTGTTTGCAGACACACTTCTACACTGCTTGGATTTTTAACAAGCAGACATTATTTTTATTAGGGTTTTTTTCTTTTTTCAAGCCTCTGTTCTCTTTTTTTTTTTCTCTTTAGTTCCTCTTCATTTTTTTTTTTTTAATATATTTTTTGCCTGCATTGGGTCTTTGTTGCTGCACACAGGCTTTCTCTAGCTGTGGCGAGTGTGGGCTACTCTTCCTTGTGGTGCGTGGGCTTCTCATTGCAGTGGCTTCTCTTGTTGTGGAGCATGGGCTCTAGGCGCACGGGCTTCAGCAGTTGTGGCACGTGGGCTCAGTAGTTGTGGCTCACGGGCTCTAGAGTGCAGGCTCAGTAGTTGTGGCACACAGGCTTAGTTGCTCCATGGCATGTGGGATCTTCCCAGACCAGGGCTCGAACCTGTGTCCCCTGCATTGGCAG